TCCCGGTGGCATCAGTTCAAAACTCGGTATCTATGCTGATGATACAACTATTTAATCCTGTCTCAATAGTAAGTCTGATCATTCAGATAATTTCAAATTAACAGCTGACCTAAAAATGATCTACAGTCTGCTATTAACTGGGGTAAGGAATGGCTTGTTAATTTTAACGCTTCCAAAACGAAACTACTCTCTATAAATCATCTGAGAGATCCTTTCTGCTTTATATCAGCATGGCTGATGCTAACCCCCAAGGGAAGGTATCGGGCTATGATTTTCCGCTGGCATGAAGTGGAAAGCTTATATTGAATCAGTTGGTAGGTTTACTGCTGGGAAAGATGAGTCACTATGTCGTGCTGGACAATTTTTTCGACTGAATCTATCTTACATATTTATAAGTCTACCATTTATCCATACATTGAATATTGCCGCCACTTCTGGTCTGCTATACATTTAGAGGTTCTTGATAGAATCCGAAGAAAAATCTGCAATATTATTGATCCTGACCTGGAATCTCGGCTTTAGTCACATTCCCACCGCTGTAATATAGCTTCCCTCTGACTTTTCTGTAAATAATTCCATGATAACTGTTCTGGCGAACTTTCCTCTACGGGACTTAGACTTTATGAATTTAATCGCAGTACTAGATTGGCGGCAAGGTCTCGTCATTTTACAGTTGAAATAACTAGATGAAACCGAAAGTTCTATGTTAACAGTTTCTTCTGTCGCATTTCTCGCTTTTAGAACTGTCTTTCGGCTTCTAGCTTTCCAGTCAAGTTTAATCTTAAAAATTTAAATGTAATGTCATTCGTTATCGTCTGTCTTCTTAATTCTTCTTCCTTTATTATTTGCACTCTTTAATATTAATTTGCTTTCTTTTCCATGTTTGCCAACACTCGGTAACCCTTGGCGCCTTAGTGCCTTTATTGCCTTGCCAGCGGTGTAATGATTAAAAAAAAACTTCTGTTTATATCAACAAACTGCTTATCTCCGATTCTTGGCATTCTTTCTCCATAAATATACCATTTTTGAAATAATATGATTTTATATATATATATATATATATATATATATATATATATATATATTGGGCAGCATATATTTTATATTATCGAGAGGCAATCATACAATGAATCAATTAGTAATATTAATGTAATTAATGGCGAATTCTCTTCGCTAACAGACTTAATATAAGCATTAACTTACTAACAATCTACTGAATGACGCAATCATTATGTATAAAATTGTTGTTAGATGTATCTGGTGTATTCTTAGAGCAGCAAGTACTTTCGAAAACTTCATGTTCTCATCGTCAGGCTGTAATTTTCAACAAACTGCTCATCTCCGATTCTTGGCATTTTTTCTCCATAAATATACCATTTTGAAATAATATGATTATATATATATATATATATATATATATATATATATATATATATATATATTGGGCAGTATATGTTTTATATTATCGAGCGGTAATCATGAAGTAATTAGTAATATTAATGTAATTAATAGAAAATTCTCTTCGCTAACAGACTTAATAAAGCATTAACTTACTAACAATCCACTGAATGACGTAGACCTTATGTATAAAATTATGTGTAAGTATTCGTGGATTTACCACAGTACAAAATTCATACAAAAAATTCTCATCAAGTTGCTCAACTGATTTCTCGAGACCCTTTACTTTATAATGCTCCATAAGTTTTCTATGGGTTTGAGTTCATGAGATTGGGGCTCCCATGTCATAGCACTCACCTGCTTCTCATCAATGTATTCCTTCATCAATTTTGATTTGTGACAGGGAACATTATCCTGCATAAAAATGAGCTTGGTGGGGTCGATTCTCACCCTTTCAGCAGAAGGGAGAAGACAAGACTCTAAAATTCTCTTGTACTGCTCGCTCCTGAGGGTCTTTTCAATAGGTTTTAAGAAACCAGTTTCATGAAAAGAAAAGCATCCCCAGAACATTATACTGAACAGATGCTTGACAGTACTTACTGCTAACTTCAAAGAGCTTTCAAAGCTTCTTCTTCGGATTTTAGATCGTTTGTCCTTTGAATTTAGCTCAACTTTCGTTTCATTTAGTAAAAAAATTTAGATGAGTCACATTTATCGAACAGCACTGTATGTATGTCTGTCTGTATGTATGTAACCAAGTATAGGATTGGTGTATACGGAATAAATTCCCGTAACCAACAAAAAATTCTTAAAAGCGTGCTCAATACAGGGTAGGAAAAAATATAATTATTTATTCGAAAATTATAACATAAATATGTTATAAAATCACTACAAAAATAGCCATTTTTTCTGGTGTCTTATCAAGTGATGGTGTTGAATGTAGAATACAGGGAACCCTTTATTCTAATTTTCGAATAAATAATCATATATATATATATATATATATATATATATATATATATATATATATATATATATATATATATATATGGGAATTAACCAGTGTTACTATTATTGTATCTGTGATTTACAAAGTTTCTCCTACAAAATGGCATTAAAAAAATAGTAATAAGAAAAATATATAAACATATTATTTACTTTTTCGTCTGTGCAGTTGAAGTCTCTGGGCCTCGTAATGAGGAAGGAAGGTTTGTAAATGTGATACTCACTGGACATATCGAGCGTAAAAAGGACAGAAAGACGTGGCGGGCCATGTACATAATGAGATTATGTGAACGGATGGCTAAAAGAGAAAGTGGTGGCAAAAATAGCAACATTATTAACAGCTATAAATATAGGAAGATGTTGAGAGCCTTCATCGACTACGTCTTGAACGGTCACAGCAAATAGAATTAAAATGTTGGTGTTCAAGGCTAGCTGACGAAAATGACGAAATCTTTGTTTCAAATTTCAAATTTTGAAACTGATTTGAAACGCCAGACATTTGACTTACCCGGGGAAATGGAAAATTCCCAACGAAAGGCAATATGAAATTTCAGCGAAAACAATTTTCATTGAATTAATATTTAATTTGGTGGTTGTTTTTCTTTGAAGTAGATTGGGACTATTTGTACACCGGAAAACCTTTTTTTTTTTCTAAAAGAATTTTTTGAAAATAGAAACAGGATATATTATTGGGACTAATTTTTATGTTATTTTGTTTTTGTTGGTTATCAAAACGTTTCATTGTATATTCTATTCTTCAACTCTAAAGTTGCATGGATCGAAAAGTTTAAAATTTAGTCTCCAACAAGATTTCAGTTCACATCCTATTTTGGGGGTGTTTGTCTATTATGTCATTGATCTTCCGGTCGCAGAATGTAAAAACAGCCTGGTTATTGGCCTAGAAAGCAAGAATAATAAAATGAAAGATAAAGAAAGAATACGTGCTCATAATCAGATGTTAGCTTATACATTCACATGACTGCTACACACATTTCAATTTATATTACAACAATTTATAAACAGGATAAGGAGGATGGTCGGTGGTGTAAATGATAGAGGCGCTGAATGAGAAGCCCGAGAGTTGAGTTCGAATTTCGGTTGAGTTTATTACATTAATTGCTTAAATATTAGGATCTGCATCTCGGAAAAAATAAGTTTCGGCTTTAAATGACTCACAAATGATTGATAAATCAATCAACCAACAGACAGTATAGTCGGGCAATAGGAATGAAAAAAGGGGTGTAACCTCACTGGCTTGGACTATTACGTGTTGGTGAGGTTATTTAACCCATAGTTGGGGTGAATGGCCGTTGACTAAGGAGTTGATCCGCCCATTAGCACTTTTAAAGGATTTCTTTTGTAATGCTGGGGTTCCACAGCACACTTAACACACAAGGTTCTGGTGTTGAGTTTATAACCACTCGACCATTCAGGTTTTGTCCTTCTCCCAGACCGGATAGCCTCCAAGTCTATAACATCCAGTTTGTTTTAGGAGGAATTGTATTACGTAACAGTTCAGTACTCTTTTCTTTGTTTCTGTTGCTTCAAGTCTCTTCTTCATCTTTGAGGAGGCTGTCCGGTATTCACTGCCATTAAAAGTAATGGTGTTATGTAACAGTTCTGTACTCTTTTCTTTGTTTCTGTTGCTTTAAGTCTCTTCTTCATCTTTGAGGAGGCTGTCCGGTAATCACTGCCATTAAAAGTAATGGTGTTATGTAACAGTTCTGTACTCTTTTCTTTGTTTCTGTTGCTTCAAGTCTCTTCTTCATCTTTGAGGAGGCTGTCCGGTATTCACTGCCATTAAAAGTAATGGTGTTATGTAACAGTTCTGTACTCTTTTCTTTGTTTCTGTTGCTTCAAGTCTCTTCTTCATCTGTGGGGAGATTGGCCGTTAGAAAAACTGATATCCCGAAACAGTTCACTTTTTCTTCGTTTCTAACGAACATTAGACTGGCTAAAATCTGAAATCTCTCTTGCTGTAAACACATACCTTGACACTTAATTCTCTTTGCCTCAGATGACTTGGCCCTAGAGAGACTTTTCCAAAATAGATACTATCTAGTGTACTTAAAAACAGAGTCTTAATGAATTCCCTGGTAGCTTTAGTCTACCCGCAAGTATTTTCCACGCCTACATTAAATTACAGACTTTGTTTTATATACTTGTGAAAGCAGAGAAATCCTTACATTGCAGGTTTTCACCAAAATAATGAATGAACAAATTTATGATCTGACATATTATCTAAAGTAGTCAGTCTAGATTCTCCAATTTGTCTTGTACTTTGAAAAAGTCTATCTGTTATCATCAGATATTAATGTCCTTAAACCCAGGACTTCGTTAAGGAATTGCAGGAAGAATTTAGGGACAAAGGAACTGCTTAATTTAAAGAGAGATATGAAGTCAAAGAAATGCTAATAGCCATTTAGGAAACGAACAATTAGAAAGAATTGCTTTGTCGGTCTTCACGCAACTTATTGTAAAAAGAAATGTTTAATGTTCTCATCATGTGATGCTCGACTGTATAAAATTTTTTTTTTTCATGTGAAGAAGGAAGAAAGAAGCGATTGAAAGAAAAGAACAAGAAGAAAAAAAGACAATTAATGGTGTAAGAAGATGCTAAAGAATCGATGAAAGAAGAAAAATGAAAAAATGAAGAAGAGATGGAAAGGGAAGAAAAGGGTTGGAAAACAAAGAAGAGAAAGATGAAAATATTGAAGGAGTAAGAGAAAAATGTAAAAGAAGAAGAAGAGATCAGAAGTAAAAGGAAAAAGAAGAAAATATAAGAAGAAGAAAAAGAGAGAAAAAGAGTGGAGTAAAAGAAGAGAAGATATAAAGAGAAGGAGAATTAGAAGTGGGGGAAGGAAGAGAAGAAGAAGACAAAAGAAAAGATGAGAAGAAAAAGAGCAAAAGGCAAAAGGGATAAAATAAAGAGAAGATGAAGAGGAATGGGGAGGAGATAAGAGAAGATAAAGAAAAGAAAGGATAAGTAGAAAAGAGAGAAGAAGAAAAAGAGAAGAAAAAGAAAGGTAAAAGAGCAAAGTATAATAATAGGGTGATGAAAATAAGAAGAAGAAGAAGAAGAAAAAAAGATGGAAGGGAATATAGGGAAAAGAAAGGATAAGTAGAAAAGAGAGAAGAAGAAAAAGAAAAGGAAAAGAAAGGTAAAAGAGCAAAGTATAATAATAGGGTGATGAAAATAAAGAAGAAGAAGAAGAAGAAGAAGAAGAAAAGAAGATGGAAGAGAATATAAGGAAAAGAAAGGATAAGTAGAAAAGAGAGAAGAAGGGAAAGAGAAGGAAAAGAAAGGTAAAAGAGCAAAGTATAATAATAGGGTGATGAAAATAAAGAAGAAGAAGAAAAAGAAAAAGAAGATGGAAGGGTATATAAGGAAAAGAAAGGATAACTTGAAAAGAGAGAAGAAGAAAAGACATAAAGAGAAGTAAAAAAGTATAATAATATGGTGATGATAATAAACAAGATGTCTGCTGAGCCAAAATCTAGAAAACTATTGTAGAGACGACCAGCTGAGAAACGTTCGAAACGACCTGAGAATCACATTAATTACAAGATGAAATATTTGCCGTCTGTTTCTTTTCGCTGCTGGGTCCCACATGGAATCATTTTTTGTCGGAACAGCAGTTTCCAATTCACTTTCGCCAAGAGACACGGAATACCACGAGACAGCCTGCTATTTAACAGATTAATGATTGAAATATTTTTGTCGACCTCAGTCTGAGCATTCCCTAATGCCTAGAGACTGACCGAAAGGTCGAAATTTCATATAATATATTGTTATTCTAAAAGATTTTGTTAAAGATCTTAATTATTGCTGCTTTCGTAGAGAATTAAATCCTCGGCGGGGTCTGCATCGGTGAAGATTAAACACTGCATTTAAATTAGTTTATTAATTATCGCTTAATAAACATGGCGCCTCATGTAAGTCTTTTTATGATTTTTTTGTTACACCGAGCTTGGTCTCCTGAGAAGTCACATGTTCTTCAGTGACGATTGATATATCCTTGCTTCGTTAATGAATTATGAATATCGATCACTAACAAACGTTTTGATTTTTTGATGTATTGATTGATTGTTTTTTTTTTTTGTATTTTTTTTTACTGCTTCTCAACCGTTTCTGGGTTATTTAAAAAACGAAATATATTCTGTATTGTATAAAGAATTTCGTTTATTTTTTTATTTTATTTTTTTTCTGAGTGGATTTTTTTTAGGTAGGTAGGAAGATAGGCGATTTTTACTTGGAGGATTTGCCGGAACATGGTCACCCAATTGATTGTTTTCTAAATATCCTCTGGGAAAGTCAACATAGTAAAATCCTATAATATATGTACGTAGCCACTCTCTTATACATACGTACAGACATACATACACCAGCAAAGAGGTGTACAGACACAAACACACACACATATATAGAGAGAGATTGATATTGATATATATATATATATATATATATATATATATATATATATATATATAGATAGATAGATAGATAGATATACAGAGAGAGAGAGATACAGAGAGTGAGAGATAGATAGATAGATAGATATACAGAGAGAGAGAGACAGATAGATAGATAGATAGATAGATAGAGAGAGAGAGAGAGAGAGAGAGAGAGAAAGAAAGAGCAAGAGCAAGAGAAATAGATATTATGAAATGGACTAAGTCCGACAATTATTTTAAGACATGTTTATGTTTATACGTTCCTTTTATAGATACAAATATTTAAGTAAATGCTCTGTTTATAATAAGCAGTATTAAACAACATTTACCGTCCTGAATGTCCGAGAAATTGCCATAGAAAATATTCGTCCTCCGACAGGAATCGAACCTGTATCCTATACGGAACCGTCATATAGTCACTCTCTCTTACACACGGACAGACATATATACACCCACACAGAGGCGTACAGACTCAAACACACACACACACACACACACACACACACACACACACACACATATATATATATATATAAAGAGAGAGCGAGTGAGATATATATATATAGAAATAAAGACATACATTTTTATGTTTATACATTCTTTTTATAGATACAAATATTTAAGTTTTTTTTTTTTTTTTTTTAGCATTTCACCCCAAGCAAGGCGGGGAGCCACTAGGACGCAAGGGGTTACAGAAAATAGGAAGATCAGATAGGAGGATAGAAGAAAGGATGAGGGTAGTAGATAGATTAAGGCAACTGAGATGTCGATTGACATTACACTTGAATAGCTGGAGATTATAACTCTCAGGGAAACAGGAGAAGGGAAGAGAGTTCCACAAGCGAGAGGTGGGAGACATGAAGCTATTAGAGTAGAAGAGACGGCTACATTTATGAGTTTCGACAGTGAAGGGGTGAGAGGGGATGCCAGCCTCGTAGGGCGCTTGAACTCATGAAGTTTGGGGAACCAGCGAATGCAGTTCCTCGGAGCAATTTCCATGAAAGTATTTGTAGAACAGACAGAGGGAGGCGACGGTGCGTCTGTGAGAAAGTGACTGTAGACGAGACGCCAGGGCAGGGCCAACCATATTGCATATCCGCTTCTGGAGCCTATCAAGAACCCCAAGCAAACAGAAGGGGCGCCAGACCATATATGGCAGCAATACTCCATGCAAGGGCGAATTGTGGATTTGTATATCTGGAGGATCGACTCAGGGGAGAAAAACTTCCTAGCACGGCTCAGGGAGCCAACTTTCCTCGCAGTGGACGAGGCAATTGACTCGATGTATTTATTGCATCTCAGTCAACGTGAGACCGAGAAGCCGCAGAGAGTTGCTCTCGGGAAGTTGAGCGTCAGACATTATAATGGAGGGAAGGGAAGGCTTTCTGTGGTGATTAATAGAGAGCAGTTTTGTCTTCGAAGCGTTGAAGTTGACCAGCCAAATCATGCCCCAGTTCACAATCGATTGGAGGTCCTTTTCTAGGCGCACGGCAAGGTGAGTTTTGTCAGCGAGACTGGATTTGTTTTTTGAGGCAGGAATAAATTGTGGTGTCATCCGCGTAGATGCCGACTTGAGAAGTTACGGCGTCAGGAAGGTCATTTATATAGATAAGGAATAGAGTGGGGCCTAGGATGGAGCCTTGAGGAACACCTGCGTTCGTGGGTAGGAACTGGAGGAGAATCCGTTGTGAACGACCTTCAATTCACGGTTTGACAGGAATGATTGTATTACGTTATATAATTGACCCGTAATGCCATAACCCTGGATCTTGCGGGAGAAGGCCGGCGTGCCAAACCCTATCAAATGCTTTGGAGATATCTAGTGCCACGGCTCGGGCTTCCCCGTTATTTTGGAGAGTTCGGTAGACTGTTTCCGTGATGGCTGTGAGCACATCGGCTGTAGATCTGGCAAAGCGGAAACCATATTGCTTGTCTGAGAGCAGATTATTGGATGTGGGTGGTTAACCACCCCGGTATTGATTAGAGCTTCGAAGATTTTGCCGAAGAGGGAAGGAGACTGATAGGACGGTAGTTGAAGGGTCAGAGGGTCGCCGGAGTTCTTGAAGACAGGAACGATCGAAGAGGACTTC